CCGAACGCAAACGAGACACCGCCTTCTCGAAAAGTCCCGTACGCAAACAGGACGCCTTCCGCGAAGGTATTAGGGGATCAGAGACATCGTCCGGCGAGACCTTCCCAAGTCGAGAGGCACCGAATGCTTCATCGGTGCTCCCCCCTCGCCCGGCTCCCAACGACAGACCACGACGCCGAGGTGACGTTTGCCCTGGCTACGCGGCGAACCGGGGTCGCACTTCCCGGTGCCCCCTAGAAGGAGGCACTAGGCCGGTTCTCCCGAGAGGAAACCGAGCTAGTTCAGATCCGACCGCAGGAAGTATTCAACGGAATAGCAGTACCTGTCTTACCATCGGCAGTAACCCGTCACCCCGTGTGGCATCGAAGCTGCGCGTTCGGGAACGAACGAAGCTAAGGACGAGGGATGATCGAAAACTTACCGGCACTGCGACTCGGGGATGTACTGGGACGGGGTATCGCGAATTGGTAAACGATTGCTCCTCTTGAAACTTGAATGACGATGGTGGATCCTCGTCTGCGCTTATGTAGAAGTCTCCTGCACACAGATGACGTCATGTGTAAAACGATACATATTTCATGACGACATCGTGCATCAGCTCGACAGGTAACGATGACGTCAAGGGTCCAGTACCTTGTCTCTTATACACATCTAGATGTGTATAAGAGACAGCTACCACTCTTTACACCGATCGGCACCGATAACGTCATGGGTGCTGTGTTGGTTCAAGTACCCCATATTGCCTGTAATGTGTATTATGTTGTAAGTGATGACAAAGAAAAGACACGTAATTACGGCTTTTATTACATCCGCTCGTGTTGAACAGAAGACGTCAACGTTCCCCAATTGCTTGTAATGTGTATGATGTTGTAAGTGATGACAGAGAAAAGACACAGACACGAGTTTAAGGCTTTTATTACATCCGCTCCAGTTTCGCTCTAGTTGCACAGAAGACGTCATCGTACGACCAATTGATTGTAATGTGTGTTATGTTGTAAGTGGTGACAAAGAAAAGACACAGACACGTGTTTACGGCTTTTATTGCATCCGCTCGAGTTGAACAGAAGACGTCATCGTACCCCAATTGGCTGTAATGTATATTATGTTGTAAGTGGTGAAAAAGGAAAGACACAGACACGTGTTTACGGCTTTTATTGCATCCGCTCCAGTTATAACGCCCTCTCGAGTAAACAACGATGACGTCATCAGACTTCGTGTTGATCCGCTCGAGTTACATCGCCCTCTTGAGTCTGCTCCTATGTCTGCATCTCACGTCCCAGCACAGGTCCTCCCGTGCCAGTGTCAGCCGTCGATCGTTGGCTGAGCAGAGTAGCTACTTTTCCTTGCTTATATTCCCTCGTACATTCTGCCATGAAAAATGTCATAAAATTTCGAATTAAGAATAACGAAAAACACTTTTTTCACGGATGCTACGTGAAGAGATATTAAACTACTACAAAACAACGCATTTAACATTTGCCGATCACCCCCACACGCTTTATAAACGCCATTTCAAAATGCTCATGAATATTAATGAGCCTAGCTGTTTGTGTTTTTCGTAGGATAGTTTGTGGATTTTCGTAGGATATTGAAGCTAACTATGCTTTTATGCTTATATAGCGCTAGGTGCTGCTGGGAAATGGTTGCGTCATCGTGCACCACTTTCCCATTGGTGTAACACGATGACGTCGAGATATGTTTCCGGACGTTCGCGTTCGAGCCCGGACGCAAAAAAAATTTGAGTTTGCGTCAACTAAGTGGAGTGTTATTGTTACACCACTTTTCCTATTCTTAATGCATTGCGGTTGTTGTAAACGCCAAACGCGTCAGTGGACCGGTACAGATGCTGGGAAAATGGTGACGTCCATCGTATACCGC